GTCAATTTGCAATCTGTTAAGCTTCACTATATTGTTTGTTTGTTTTTTAGGGTAGGCAGCAAAGACACTATAATCGCAATATCGTTATTAAATGTAATATACATTTTCTATAAAATATATAAATATAAAGAAAAGAAAAGGAAAATAATTCATTTTAATGGTGATGGCAACATCCTAAGACTTGAGCTGACAGAATCGGGTTAAACCTTGTGAGTTCTTTGCATTTCATAAGCTCCTAATTAAACTGTAATGGCATAGCTGCTAAATTTATTTATCCTGATTCCTGAAAATCTCTTTTGAAATATATCTTGCATTAACCTTTTAAATGGTAAAAAGGTACGTATCACCAGGCAATGAATTATGCTTAGTTGCCGTAGCTCCAGGGTGATTTATGAAAAACTGGGAGATAAAAAAAAAAAAATTCGAAGAAAGGAGGAGTTTAGGATTATTATTACAAAAGAACTGTAACCTACTTTCTGAAATAATGCTCATGTTTACTACTTCTTGTAGAAATTTAGGCCATTCCTGCAATATTTTTATTAGCCCAGCGTTAATTTTCCTAAAGAGTAATACTTAAAAAGTGACGTATAAAATGAAGTTCAACATAATAGTATATAACATAAGAGGATACATTAAAATTCTCCTACTCACTTATATTTTTATATTTGAAAAAACACCCTAACAACATAACCTCTGCTGAGTCTCTAAGCAGCATTTTTGTTTGCCAATCCATTTCACTATGTGACAAAAATGGAGCTGGCTTTGAGATCTGGAGACCTCCCATCATCCTTTTTACAATTCCACATTACTAATTTTATTCAGCCTAGACAGCCGTCATAGCACTGGGATGCGTTAGCGGGTTTACAGCTATAAATTGGCAATTATCACTCTTATCCTAAAGAAACTTCCCTCATTTTTATCTGAAGTCATCTTCTTACTATAAGCATCAAACTAAAAGAACAAGGACTGGCAACAACACGGGATCAAATTCAAAAACCTTATTTAGGCATATATGTCAGTATAAAATTACAAAGTTTTGCCCATAGGGGACTCAATCATGGTGATTTTATGCTGAGATATATATTAAAATAAAGCTTTTTTTTGTCCTATCCTATTTGTTTATGATAAGAGGGGTTGGCAGTGCACTAGAATCAGATATTGAGTGTACTGTGTGGAGTGCCATTCCATTGGTTCCTTACTACAAGCAGTTGACAGTTGACAAAGGTATATTATGATTAGAGATGTTGCGAACTGTCCGCCGAACTGTTCGCGAACTGTCCGCCGGCGAACAATAGCGTGTTCGCGTTGGGCGAACATATCCGATTTCCGGTCCGCCCCCTATACGTCATCATTGAGTAAACTTTGACCCGGAACCTCACAGTCAGCAGACACTTCCTGGGAGGGAGGGTCTGCTGCTGATTGGGTGGATTGTGTCTGCTGGCTGTGAGGTTCCGGGTCAAAGTTTACTCAATGATGACGTATAGGGGGGGACCGGAAATCAGATATGTTCGCCCAACGCGAACACGCTATTGTTCGCCAGCGGACAGTTCGCGAACAGTTCGGCGGACAGTTCGCGACATCTCTAATCATGATATCTGGGGAACTAATTATCTTACTGTTCTCTAACATCTAAGTGTAACTTGTACTAACTTTATAAATAGCTACTCTGAATTAGTCCTGTTAGCATTCTTTATGCTGATTGGTTGTTACACTGTGGCATTTAAAGGAAAACTATAGTGCCAAGAAAACAAAGTTGTTCTCCTGGCACTATAGCTCCCTAAGATGTCTCCCTATGTCAAGCCCCCTTATGTTAAAAACCCCTTTCTGTCACTTACCTGAGTTTAGCGCTGGCCTGGGCTCTGCTTATGTCCTCCCCCGCTGACATCAATTGGTCGGGAGACCTAATGCGCATGTGTGGCAATGGCGTGCTCACATAAGTAATTCCCCCATGGGAAAGCATTATACAATGAAGGGTTTCAGATGACGCTGGATGTCCTCATGTATAGCGTTATATATAGTTATGTGACCCAGAAATTCCTCTAGTGGGTGTCTGGTAGTTTATTAAAAAGTGCAATAATTACCTTTGCAGTGTTAAGTGGCATATGCACGGAGATCACTTCACTTAGCTAAAGTGGTCTGGGTGCCTATAGTGTCCCTTTAATAAATGGCAAGGCTACTGAATGGGATCATCCAATAAGTGGACAAATATAAATGATATAAAATTATATGACAAGCTATACAAATCACAACATGACAATATGAGATCAGAATAGCTACATACTCATAAATAACCAATATTTTATACTTGTAATAGCAAGTCGACTATTTCTGACTGAGAATCCAGGCACTCCAAGTATCTTCAATTGTATTTATTAGGACAAATGAGACACCACAGTGTCTCACTTGTCCTAATAAATACATTTGAAGATACTTGGAGGGGCTGGATCCTCTTTCTACCACTGATATCTACTCCATGGGACTTGTGCTGGCCCTTGCTCCAGTTTAACACCTGGATCTTCACGTGATTGGAGTGCGGTTCATTTTTCTCTTTTTGCAACTATTTCTGGCTCAACCTAAGTAAGTAATTTGTTATATGAAAATCAATTCATCAAACTGGACATTTCAAGTAAAATTGTGTAGGTTACTGCAATTTCACTTATTATTTTTTTAACTATAATAGATACATATATATATATTATTGTATGGACAGATGAGAGAAAGATCTACAGATCGATAGATAGCCTATAGAAACATTGCATACCCTCCACCATATTTGGTAGCTGCTTATATATGATAGATAGATAGATAGATAGATAGATAGATCTTTTTTAAAGGGACACTCCAGGCACCCAGACCACTTCTGCTCATTGGAGTGGTCTGGGTGCCAACTCCCACTACCCTAAACCCTGCAACTGTAATTATTGCAGTTTTGATAAACTGCAATAATTACCTTGCAGGGTTAACTCCTCCTCTAGTGGCTATCTACTAGGCAGCCACTAGAGGGCACTTCCTGATTCATAGCACAGGTTTTCAATGCTTTCCTATGGAGAGGTCTAATGCGCGGCATTGCCACGCATGCGCATTTGGTCTCCCCCGCCAGTGGGCGGGATCTGTCTCCCCCGCCGGATGACGTGGGGATGGGAAAGAGCATGAGCGGTCGAAGAAGCAGTGGCAAGGGACATCGTTGCTGCCTCTGGTAAGTCAATGAAGGGGTTTTGACCCCTTCAGCAACCGGGGATGGGAGGTTGGCAGGGAGAGGGGACCTGCAGTGCCAGGAAAACGGATTGTTTTCCTGGCACTGGAGGGTCCCTTTAAAGTATATAGTATAGGAAGAGTATTCCAGTTTGTATTGATTATCCACAAAAAAGACTGAAATTAAAATTGTAAAATTAAATGAAGTAGCAATTCCAAGTGAAAAAGAATCTTGGAAACTGCTGTTCAACTATCATTTTTTTTTGGCACCAGTCTGTCTTGTTTTCTTGGAATAACTAGATTCTGCTTAATGTTCCTTGTCATTGTGTTAACTTCTACAACGCTGATAAATTGGCAACAAGTATAGCATGCTTTCACACTGAGGAATATATAAAGGTAAACCATGTCAAGTGGCATTTTTATTTTAAAAGGTGAGCAGAGCTTTTCATTTGTAACATTATGACCTTTACCAGCATTTATTTTCATTTTAAGTACTAATACATTGTTCCATGAGTAAAGTCTTTATTTCTACCCCAGTGACAAAAGAGAATACAAGGGTATGTATTTTTGTTTTGTGACACCAATGAAAAATTAGAACTTTTATCCCAACTTCATATGGACCTTTCATGGCCCCACTGACTGTGACAAATGACCTGTGTTTTCTTATATAACAGACTTTTTTTTAATTTTCCAACCAACCTTAAGACTCTAAATATGTTGGTTTAATATCTGTACTATGTACTATGCTAGAATGATTTATTCAAACCCAATCCATTTTACAGAGTTGGTTGCAGCTGGGTACCTAGGTTAACATTGTCACAGCAGTTAAAAGGCTTAAAGGATCACTAAAGGATCAGGAACACAAACATGTATTCCTGACCCTGGGCCCCTCATGCCTCCATAAATATAGCAAACTCTTACTGTATTCAATCCTGAAGCTGTAGATCTGCATGCTGTTTGTCACAGAAAAAAACCAAGCAGTCTGCTGACATCATCAGAAGTGGTAGCATGATCCAATCACAGTGCTTCCCCATGGGATTGTCTGAGACTGACAATGAGGCAGATCAGGGGGAGAGCCAGCATGATTCAAACACAGCCCTAGTCAATCAGCATCTCCTCATAGAGATGAATTGAGTCAATGAATCTCTATGAGGAAAGTTCAGTGTCTGCATGCAGAGGGAGGAGATACTGAATGTTTGGATGCATTTTAGGCAGCCATGACCCAGGAAGGATCTCCAACAGACATCTAAGGATTGGCCAGTGAAGTTATCACTAGGCTGTAATGTAAACCCTGCATTTTCTCTGAAAAGACAGTGTTTACAGCAAAAAGCCTGAAGGGAATGATTCTACTCACCAGAACATATTCAATAAGCTGTAGTTGTTCTGGTGACTATAGTGTCCCTTTAAATCTGGGATCTAGTAGAGTTGTTTTAACAAGATACCCAAGGAATGGCCAATCTGAATAAAGACGTAGAAAGTGCTATTAAAGTAGTACGAGAAAGACTGGAAGACTTGAATAAGTCAGGAATTAACAATGGCAGCACAACTTTGCAGGATCATTTGATAGAATGCTGAAGATGATGTGGACACATCAGGAATACAGCAGGAGAGGGCATATTATTGTAAACTGATGTGAGGACACTACATTTTTTTTAACCACAGTTTGCCTTTGAAATTCTAATATTCACTAGTAGTGATGTCCCGAACGGTTCGCCGAACGGTTCGCCACGGATGGCGAACATATGCGCTGTTCGGTCTGCCCCCTATGTCATCATTGCGTAAACTTTGACCCTGTACCTCACAGTCAGCAGACACATTCCAGCCAATCAGCAGCAGACCCTCCCTCCCAGACCCTCCCATCTCCTGGACAGCATCCATTTTACATTCATTGTGAAGCTGCATTCTTAGGGAGCTGTCCAGGAGGTGGGAGGGTCTGGAGGGAGGGTCTGCTGCTGATTGGCTGGAATGTGTCTGCTGACTGTGAGATACAGGGTCAAAGTTTACTCAATGATGATGAATAGGGGGCGGACCGAACAGCGCATATGTTCGCCGATTGGTACAGGTCTGCAGTACCCAGGAATTGTCATACATAGTTTGGATCAGTATGCAGAAAACAATCAGGAAGGTAACTTTAGAAATAAAAAGGCTTTTTACTATACTGACCATGGTGACATTAAGTACTTTGGCATTAATAGTGATATGGGTTGTAATACTCCAAATGGATAACAAAGTTCTAAGTTATTCTCAAAAATATAACAGACTTTGTTCTGACTGTAATGATGCTATTTGGCATATAGCAGATTGGTAATTATTGTAAGATAAATTTCCATGATTTATAGAGAACTGTTATTTAAACTATAAACAAATAAACATTTTATCCAAAGTATTTTCACTTACATTAGATGAAAATGTTATTTCATGGTTCATATCATACATATTGTTTAAGGAGATGGAAATATTCCTTTTGGTGATTTTTAATTCTTGATTTAATGCTTTCCATTATTGGGGAAAGATGTAGGGATAATGCATTATCTCCCAATTACCAATACCAATCACCATTTTCTGGGTTGATCACAAACATAGATTGCATTAGTGACAACCTAAGATTTTTTTCTAACTTAGACATAATTAGTAAGGAAGAGTGGGGAGAAATTCCTAAATCAATAATAGAAGATGGTTATGTGACTGTGCAAATGAATGACTGAATGACAAGAAGGTGCCTAAACGTTTGCACATGCCAAATGTACATTTAGCAAATAAATAATCATGTTATACCATCAGGGGCACGTTAACTCATTTGTATACATATACACATACATACACTCTCACACATGCAAACAGGCATCTAAACCCTCATTGCTTCCTCTGTGACAATACTGTTTTTGGTAAACTGCCTGTCATCCTCTTGTATTTATTTCCTTTTCCTGTGATGTCTGTGTGTAGTTATTGTTCTTGATATTATCGTTAAAAATATTAATTTCAGAATTCTCTCAAGTTTTAAATGTGCTATATTATTCAATAAATTATGTTACAGTACACAACAATATAGAAACCTAGAATGAACATGAAATATTCAGGGAATCTATTAAATGAATTTTCATTTCAGACTAAATAATGACAAATGGACACATTAAAGCAAAACTAATATAACATAAGGGCATATTTTTAATATCAAAGAGAAAGTAAAAGCAAAATTAAAAAATGGATTTATTTTACTTTCAAATCCGTATATGTATCTATGACCTATTTCTGGTTCAATGACTTCTATATAAATTGGCACATGTATTCTGCCTTGAGGAACAGCTAAATCCTATATTACTTGTAATAAAATTTTATTGGCCTTTTTAGCTAATAATTGACATTTAGCCCTGTTTTAAAGTATAAAATTGCTGACAATTTTACTATACATTTAGCTGTTAAATAATCCATAAACAGCTATTTTATTGACCAGTGTAACGGCACCCCCAGCATAAAAGGGGTTAAACGCCGATTAGAAGATCTTCCCCTTTCAGAGACAAAGGCATAGTTACTGCAGAACACCAAACTCTCGTACTGAATACAAGGGAATGCTCCAAACTCCCGAACTGCATACAAAGTAGCACTCCCGAATTGTAACCTCACGAATAGCTGCTAGCAGACGAACAGGAAAAGCACCCAAGCGGCTTACACTCCTGGCAGCATACAGTAAATCCCCACAAAGACGAGACAGAGCTCTGTGTTGAGGGTCAACCAGTGGTCTGGTTTATTGAGGGCTACCTGCCCAGTATTTATGCAGGTCTCCCACCTGGTGGACACTCCCCTACTGGACCAGATGGGAGACTGTAACACAGACAGACATGTATCACATTCAGACACACAGAAGTAAAACATCCCCACAATGCATCCTAATTCCCTCTCCTCTATCCTGGAGATAATTGGGAAGTAATCCAATTATCTCCCAGGACAGAGGCAAAACTCCATTACACACGTGGTTATAATAAAACACTAAAATACAATAAAATACATAATGTTACCTTTATCACATAAAATATATACATGTAACCCATCCCCAGATAGCTGGGATCTGAGCGCACAATTGTACCGAATAGCGCTCAGATCCTATATAGTTCAATTGCCATGGAGCCAAAGTCTTTAATTACACGAATAGGCTCCATGGCTGTGCTATCTGGGTTAAAGCATTCACATAAAACAAAGTCCCAAATGATCAGGTGTTCGGTTAAATAGCCACGAATAGAAGCAGGGAAGACTGGAGGCTCAGCGGTGCCTGCACGTAAAAGTGTCCACTTTTAGTGCACGGATTCCGGGCTGAGCAACGCTGGCCGTCCGGGGAGTTCCATAACACCGCCACCTAGCGGCCGCTAAGTGTACCCGCAGCCACCTAGTAATAGTCAATTAAATGACCACTATAGTGCCAGGAAAACATACTCATTTTCCTGGCACTATAGTGCCCTGAGGGTGCCCCCACTCTCAGGGTGCCCCTCCCGCCGGGCTCTGGTGGGGTAGAAGGGGTTAAACTTACCTCTTTCTCCAGAACCGGACAGGGAGCTCTCCTCCTCCTCTCCGCCTCCTCTCCTCCTCTTCGGCTGAATGCGCATGCACGGCAGGAGCCGCGCACGCATTGAGCCAGTCCATAGGAAAGCATTCTCAATGCTTTCCTATGGACGCTGGCATCTTCTCACTGTGAAAATCACAATGAGAAGCGTTAAGCCCTCAAGCGGCTGTCAATGAGACAGCCACTAGAGGCAGGATTAACCCTATGCTATGTTTATAGAAAAAAGGGTTAAACCTAGCTGGACCTGGCACCCAGACCACTTCCTTAAGCTGAAGTGGTCTGGGTGCCTATAGTGGTCCTTTAAGCTGCGGTTAACCGCAGCTACTGGGTAGTCAATTGACTGCACATGCCAGCTTCTGGGCGGCCAATTAACAGCGCCTGCCGGGTCCTCACAGCTCTGGAGAGGCTAATAGAAGGCGGTTTGTGCAGTAGACTAAATCTACCGAACGGCTGTGCAGAAAGGCATGAATAAACCTTTCTGCACAGTAAAATTAACTGTTTAACTGCCGGTTCATAATCCAAAGGCAGCAGGCAGGCAACCAGGCTTCTCCAATGCAATGTGGCGAGATTGGTCTCGTCACAATCAGATATATGATCTTGCATTTTTGTCAATGAAAAAAATAAAGACAAATTTTATTAACTCACGACAATTAAAAAAAAGAAGTTAACAAAAATTAAATATATCTATCCATCAAAGTTATTTCCTAATTTTTATTGTTTCTCATTTTAGTTTTCTTATTTCATTTAATTATATGATGTGAAGAAAACCTTTCATTTACAAATACACATTTTTTTAGTTAATTTAGTATATGTAATTTATTGAATTAGAATTCTAAAATATCCAATTCATCTAATTCATCAACTGTCGATTAGAATATATGGTAATTCTGGTCCAATAACAATTTCCACATGTTAAGTACTTTGGTAGTAATGCTGGATTTTACAGATTTTTTGTTAGTTCATATGAAGCTTATAAAATAATTCTTCTTATAAATAATTCACAATAATTGTTCATTTTATTTTGTTTTAGACATTCAAGAAGACTGGTAGAAGGGTGTTCATGGCATGAGTTTTTTTTAAATCTAACCTTTCCTGGTTAATATATGATCTTATACATTTTGGCTTATTTCAGTTCCATCTGATTATATGGGGTGTTATGTATATATTTGTTTTGCAGGAATAAACCAAGTTTAAATTATTTTTTTTAAATTTTTTATTTCACTCTAACATTACTTATTAATGACGATGGAGATGTTTGAAAATGATTATCTTGTGTTAACATCCAACTATACATAATAAAGACAATTTAGACCTGTGAGAAAACCCACCGGGAGTTCGGGGTTTTCTCTGAGCATTCATCTGAGCACCACCCTCCTGGCTCATTGACTTCAGAGGAGCCCGTCAATTAAGCGCTCTCTCAGGGTGGCCGCCATTTGTATATACGAATGCCACATGGCTGAGAAAACAGCGGCCATCTTGTTTGTTCGGGACAAAGGCAGCGGGACTTGGTCGTCGAGTGTCTGGAACTAAAATCGGACACTCGACTTCCCGAACACCGGTCTCAAACATACGAATGATGGAACTGTATTTCCCGAACGGCTAGGAGAACACTTTTCGGTATGTTGATGTATTCGTATGAGAGGAACAATCGCTCCTATGAGCCAGGAGGCTCCATTCATGAATTATGGAGGTATTTGACATTTTCAGAATTGACCGACCGCACACGCTGAATTCGTGGAACTATTTTGGGCAAGAGCTTCGTGTGCGGTCGGTAACTTACGGCTTCCACACTTTTTAAAAACCGATCTGGGTGAAATTTGAATATGTTGTTCCCCCAGATCGGGGCTATCAGGGGATGTAACATTTGTGGGGATACCTTAAGCAGAAAGGGGTGTTCTGAGTTTTGGGGAAAATGTGTGCACTTCGCCTGGAGATAATTGGGTTATTCCTTAACTTATCTCATTATCTCACAGGCGGAGACAGTGTACAGTGTAACTGTACCTTATGATTGGCTATTTGGTTTGTGTACTGTGGGAGGTCCTCCTACAATGGGACCTCCATAAAAGCCTGTGTGGCCTCAATAAACAGCAGTCTTGTTACACCCTTCATCATGTTTCGGCTGGTGTTTGGGTACCTGATTACTACTTGGGGAAAGCTGTACTAGAGGATTTTGTTTCTTTGGACTTTAACTACCGACCAGAAGAATTGAACGGCTAGCTATAATCACCCTGGCTCTCATCCTACGAACCCATAGCTACCACTTCAGGGTTCGTTACAAGACCTTCCTCTATAACAAAAGAAACTTACCAAGATCCTTTCAAACTTTACTTACTACTTACTTACTAGTGCATCAAATACAAAACAAGGCTTTTATACCGTTGCAATAATACTATCTTTATTTTTTAAATATTACTTGAGGTGAT